GCAACCTGAGACAAGCAACAGTTGCTAAACAAGCAGGTGGGCACCAATGTGGTTAATCTCTGAGTAATCTGACATTGATTGGGAGAGCTTCTAAAAGACCTTGGTCTTACCAGGTAACAAGACAGTATTTTCACATGGAGGGTACAGAGTCCAGCTTAAGCTTCTCTGTAATCAAATCTAAGAAAAACTACATGATAAATTGCTTGTTCTGCTTAAAATAAAGAAATTTCTGCAAAAAACACCATATGGGGTCTAAGTTTCAGCGTGTCCTTATGGAATGCTATTCTGGGAATGAATTCACTGTGAGGACATGGATTACTCCTAATTGTCAGGCTGAAGTTCGGGGCACTAAAACATCAGTTTTCACAGAAAAGTAGTATAAAAGAACTGGTTCCTACATGTCTGCATGAGGCCTATATAGAGCCTAATAAAAGCAATTTTGCAGTCCAAGGAAGATGGAATCTGATTGATGTGAGTGAGGCCCTTGAGAAATCTAGGAATGAGCAACCAAAGCAAGAAAACGACTGCAGGACTTTCAGTCAAAGAAAAGGAGAAGAAATTGATCGAAACAGAACCTTCTAGAGCTGATGGACAGACAGATTTCTTAAGGGATTATGAATAATCACAGCAGTTCAGCCAAAATGCCAACAAAATATTGCTTGTGGGTACCTCAGTCACTACCAGGTTTGTTCTGAAGCTTGCAAGCCAGACCTCAAATTATCTTTCGGTTAAGAAATTGCAACAGATACAGGACTGAGCAAGACCTCAACAGGCAAGAGAGTGTGAGATTGTTGAGAGAGAGCAGGACAGCACTGAGATTTAGCAAGATCCTGCTGCTTTTTTCTGATGATGTCTGATGAGCTCTTTTCAAAGCTGATCCTGAGCATAACCTTCAGAAAGAGATGGGAGTCCCTCTCTGGTCTTTCATTACAAAAAAAAAAAAAAAAAAAAAAAGTAAATACTGTGGAAATGTGCAGCAGTCTGAGACAAAGAGACCCCTTTAAGCGTTCATCTTTGACAAACAGCAGTCATCTTAATGGGGGGAATCCAAGGTTTCATTCTTGATCCTGGAAAAGCATTCATTCGCACAACAATAAAAGAACTGTAACACTGAGAAATGGAAAACACATTCTATCCCAAAGTCTAAGTCCACCAACAACTGGAAATAAAAACAGCTCTGCATGCACAGCAGATGTGGGACAGGCCCTATTTTGGTACTGGCAACAAGAAACAAGTGAAACCACCATACTCACACTCTCTTCATACACAGTGTTTGCAGTGAAGCTGCAATCCTATTCAAACGCCTTTAGCCTATTTTTGTGCAGAACAGTAGGACAATTTGTGGGAATGCCCAGAAGACTGCTCTCCTTTCTTCAATACCTTGCTTAAATCCAACCTCCTAAACCCTTGAATTCCTTCTGGACACCCATCATCTAGACTGGCTTCACCAGCATGTAATCCTGCAGTTCTCCCCCTGCTCCCTTCTCAGCAGGTGAGCTCCCTGTGCCAGGCTTTATTTTCAAATTATTCTGTTTATGTACTCAGTTAATAAGTTGGTTAAAAACTTCTGTGTTAGTAAATAAAAAGCTCTTCAGCTCATTGGGGATTGTATCCAAAAGGAAAACGCCAAAGGTTTTAAGAACTGCTAGTAACTATTACTCCCTCTGCTGCCTTTCACCCTTCTTTTCACAAGATCTCAGAGCTCCTTACAAATCTAACTACACAGCCTGCTCTCCCAGCAGTGAAATGCAGCCAGTCCTGGGGTAAAACACGGCTACTCGAGGACCCAGCATCTCCTCCTGCTCTGCCTCCCCGTGGCTGCTCAGCACCCAAACACCTGCTGCATGCACCCCAACGATTCTGCCAGAGTGGCTTGTTGCTTTCATGGTCAGGCATTGCAATAAATTGCCACATGTGGCAGGAATCTAGGAGAAGAGGCACAAACCATTTAATGGCTCTACCCTAGTAATTGCATGCCCTGCAGCTCTTAGTAGAAACTGTTCTTTGAGAGGTGGGTTGCAAGTTTTAATCTGAAATGTTCATTATCAATGGCAGCGCAACCCCTGTTTCTTGGTGGGGAGATTCAGTTCTGATCACAAGCAAAGGATGCCACCTACTGAATCCCTGCCACCACGATTGCACGCTCTGACCCTCACAGCTCGAGACCTCTGGCAGGATCACAAGGCAAGCTGCAGGACCAAAAGGAATCCTGAGGAAAAGCAGAAAACAGGCTTGGAAAAACAAAGCTTCTCTCACTGCTACTCTCCCCACAACCCACAGACGTATTACTCACTGAACATCTGCACAACCACCATAATTTCTAATTTTGCAACACTGACAACCTTCGTAGAATGAAAAAAATAGCCTCCTTACATCTTTATTCCATTTTGGGTTCATTGTAATGCAGCCTGACAACACGGTACATTCTGCAACATTTAACCCCTGTTCCATTTGCCATTCTTAACTTCACGGCTTAATGACACAGTGTCAGTAGATCACAATATGACCCTGTTAATATTTTTTTAATGCCATTTTTACAAATTACAGCATAATGTACTGATTACGAGGATGAAAGGTAACTCTCTACGTCTGTCTGGAAACCAAATAAAAGAATGTTTGAACATCTGTTCATCCTACAAATGTCTTTAAAAGCTTTGATTTTCCCATAATCATTTTGTTCCACCATTTCACCCTTTTTCGAGTGTGTATCCAACAGCCTCAGGACAGCAGCCAGAGATCTGCAGTAACAGCACATTATAATCAAAGTTCTTAGGCACATGTAAGTTCTTTTAGAATTAAAATTGGGGGAAAAAAAACCAGCCTCCACCAGATACCTCTGCAGCACTCCATCCTACACAGATCTCTGCTGGGGGAGCAAAATGAGGGGCTTTATGCAGAAGATTACAAAGCACCAGGGCAGAAAATGGTGGCAGGTGAAGGTACTCACATGAGGTTTATATGGCACGTATGCTGCCGGGGTTTCTGTCTTCTTCTCCAGAGGCAGAAGTGGGAGAAGCAAAATGCTTGGAAATAGGAGCACTGGGGAGGAAGGCAGATCTTGAACTGAGGGGATGGAACAATGATGCCAAGTTAGCGTTCTAAACTGAAGATGACAAAAAAGGTGGGGATATAGATTAAAAAAACACCCATTACAGAAGGCTGGAGAAAGGGATGGAGGTACAGCTCTGCAAAAGCTGTCGCTGCTCTCTCCCTTGGAGTGCCCCAAGCAAACAAACTGTGGGACACTCCACACCAGATGACTGGTGAGGAGCCAAGCAGAGAGCTGCAGAGCTGTCAGTATGCAGCGCTAAAGAGTTTTCAAACACATCGAGTTCCATAACGATTGACTCACTGGGGCTGCTATGGGCAGTCAGCAGTAGAGAGGGAAAACAATCAGATAACACCTTCTAAAAATACACGTGCCACTGTAACACTGACATCAGGCCTCCTCTCCAGATCTATTCAATAACACTCTTACGGGTCTTTGTCTTTTTCATTTGTAAGGCAAGACCAGCAACTGTGGAGCAGCCAACAACATCCTACAGCAGGATAATTTTCAGGATGTGCATCCTTTTCTTTCCAAAACTCTAAAAGCTAGAAGAATTTATTTACCCATTTAAAATTTGGCAAGGACGCTAATTTATGCAGATAAAAACAAATTCCCAAATAATTCACTTTAAAAAAATATATATATTAAATGAGAGAGGTTTTCTGATACCAGTAATTCTTAGGCTAACACAGTATGGTAATAATGGCATCCCTTCTATGTCATCTGTTTCTCTAGCTTCCATCACTGCAGTATCTTAAGCAGAAGCAACAGTGCAGGGTACAAAACAGGATTTGATAAAGGCTTAAATAGAAAGATAACAAAAAATATTCCTTCCAAAGACTGCCTTTAGGGGTGTCTGGGAAAAGAAGAGAAATAGGGAAGGAGAGGTGACAGGGGTGTGAAATGCATTTTTTTTTTCATTATAGAAGGACACATTTTCCAGCAAGGCTGGCAGCACAAGCCACGTTAAGCCATAGCTGAAGTTGTCTGCCTAATTCCTCTGGGATCACACTGAAAGCATACCCCATAATCTTATGGGATGTGCTAAAGCTTTGCTGGGACTCACTCACTCAGCAGAAACTGTTTGGGATTATTCCACAAAGCACTAATTCTGTTCTGATTTAAAGGGGTACCATCAACCTAGTTTGAACACCTGACTTGCCCCGTCTCAATGATATCCAGTTGTAAACACCTCCTCACAATAGCTGAGATTTTTGCCATGCGGCCACTTTGGTTACCTGGATATTAAAAGGAAATGAAAAAAGGGGAAAAATAGGATTATGTTAGTAAAGTGGATTCACGCCCAACAATGGGTATTTGATTAACAACACTGATAAATAAGCAAAATGATCTATTAGCATTACTTTGTTCCATGTACATCTAACATTATTGCCATGGCTGGCTCCACTGAAGGTGGCCACAGGCTGCTATTTAACATCAACAAGTACTCATTTTGTTCAACATATAGGAACTAGTACCTTCCATGCTGCCAGACCCACAGTCCAATTTCTGTTCAAGATGTCCATCTCTGTGGAATTATTGTTAGTTTTTACACTGTGGTGCTCTATGCTTTGTAAATAACAAAGAAGGGATACCACCAGTGCTCTCCTGCATGTGAGCCTAGGACATGAAATTGAGAGGTAGAACCAAAGCAGCCACGAAATCCCAATTAAACAACTAATGGTTTCTAAATCATCTTGGAGATATTCATTTTACAAGGTTTATGCTGCAATCTTCTATCATTATTTCAATGAAAGAAAGCCCATGACTATTTCCAGAGGCAACTTTTTCTTTGAAACACATAAGGCATTTTGGTTACAAAAAAAGAAAACAATTCCGGAAGAGGATTCAGCACAGAACCAGCAGGAGATTCAAAAAAGCTATATAAAAAGTCACCAAAAATAGGTTCTGAGGCCTTTGGAACAGCAGACAGAACAATTAAAACTCTCAGTTATACACATCATTATGTTTAATACGAAAAACATTTCTAGATAGAAATCATCTATAACAAAGATCCATACCAACTCTCAGATAACATCTTACATAGTTGCAGCTGAAGGCATCTGAAATATCCATTCTAGGTTCCACCTATTATATCACGCGCTTTTTGTCCCTCGCTTCACTTGGGGAAGAAAACCTAGGCAAATCAGCTTCACTTTGTGAGTTGCATGAAATTTACATCTTGACTGCATTTAGATCAATAGTGGTGGCAAACTTTCAGATTATGTGAAACCTTGAAACAATTCAGCAGAAAAGCACTGCTATGAGAATGCACGCCCCAACGCTGCCATATGACAGGTGGCATCCTTCAAGAGGCCATAAAGGTTCAAATCACTAAGATGACAAGATAAGTCCATTTAACTGAATAAAACCAGATCGCAGGGATTTCAGAAGCAGATACAGTCAGCAGGAGCTTCCAAGCTCTGCAAGGAAGGAACAGGTCTAATGCACTCAGGCAAGCAACACATTCCATCTGAATTCATTCCAGAGCCTGGTCTTTCTGGTGGGCTCAGAGGCTTCGTTGCTTTCTCAGGATTGTATCATTTTCTTCTGTGTGTCAAAGACATATCTTTTAAAAAGAAGAGTGATGGTAACAGGTTGAGCCGAATCATTCTTGCTGCTTTCATTCTCTTTGTTTGCATCCCCCTTTCCTGCCTTAGATTTTTTCTTGGAGGCAGCACTGAGAAGCATCTTGGTTTCTGGCTTCAGCCCACCTGTTAAAAAAAAAACACAAACAAACAAGAACATACATGACCAAAGAGCTTAACTACACATTGCAGCGTGTCCGGAAAAAATGAACAGGCAACTTCACTTCTGAAATCAACCAAGGAAAATATGAAAAAATGCATCTGGTACATCAGCAAAGTTACATTTCTGTATCACGCTCCTGGACTACACTAAGTTACGTGACAAGAGAGGTGCTCAGACACAGTTCATATCAGCAGCACCCCAAATCCAGTGCAGTCTCCTCCATTATCACCCCCAGACCCACTCATTCCCACACCCACAACCTGACACATGCCTCTCTAAACTGGACCAAGGTCTTCAAATATTAAATACAGACCAAAATGTAACCAGGCCAGAATAACTTACTTGGTTGAGGTAAGCCCAGCAGACTTTCCCTATTACTTGCACATATTTCCCAGAGTTTCCTCTCATTACTGAGAATATTTATAGAAATGTAGATCACAAATGAAAAATAACAGCTAAATTACTGAAGAATACAGCCCTAAGACTAAGGTGCCTCAGCATCTTGAGTTTATTTCCCAGACCTGCCATCTGGTTGGTTTTAACAAATGATGCTCTCCTTTCTCGTTTGGCCTAAAGTGCAGCTCAGGGTTACAGCTCACTTCTTAAGGGAACTAGAATTAACCTGTGTAAGATTCTGAGGATCTGAACTCCAAAAATAAGCCTTTCCCCAGATATTCACATGCAAACAAGCATTTGTCTTTTCCCTCCTAAATGGATAGAGTTGATTTAAATTTTTATCTTTTCACTCAATGGTGTCATTTTAAAGAAAAGTGAGATGCAAGAACCTGAAGAAACACTGTAAAATAAGAGATGCAGCTCCTAAAAGACCACTCCTGAGGCACTGCCTCTTTAAAGCAGAAGATAGCACGCTCCTTGGAGCACATTCAGCACCACCTGAGCACACCGAGACGTGGTTTTCAGGCATGTGGCCAACTTCAGTTCAGGTATTTTTAACCTGCGGTGTCACATAACCTTATCTCAAACACTTAATCGGTTTCTCTCCCCTCGTACTGAAATTCAGATGCGGATTCTCATATCACAGCCTGACAAAAAGCTCGAGATGCTTATGATTTGCTGGAGACAGGAGGTCTACGCTCGCAGGTGATCAGCTCTGCTCCAGACACGCAGAGCACTTCCAGCTGGCTGCGGGCACACGGCTCCACAGCCTGGGCACTTGCCCTGCAGAGCAGCAGCTAACTGCTCCAACAGCATCCCCACCCACACCGAGGGAAGGTGGGAAGCAGGCAAGTGTGCTGAAGCACCACCAGGGAGCTGCCCGTTTGCATTTCATAAGCACGGCTGCTGAGAGCAGCCCTGCAGCACAGCCACGTGGGGACCTGCAGAGTCTCTCAAAAAAAGACCCAAAACCCCACCAGACAGCACAAAAGAAAAGCAACACAACGCTAGTGACTCAAAGTGCGTCTTACACTAAGGCTGCAGAAGGCCAACATTGGGCAGAATTGACATCGTCCTGTGGGGTCTTGTATCCGGCAGCCAAGTCAGAGCAGATTTCTCTTTTCAGATGGTACACAAAAAAGCAATGATTGTTTCACTACGGAAATAATTGAGACGGTTTTTCCTTGATGGTTGAGAAGTCTGATAATGACCATTTTGCATGTGTAAGGTTCAATTAATCAAACTAGATAATATGATGTGGCTTGAGCACATTTATTATTTGGTTTTATTACACTGTATAGTCATGTTTGATGCAGCTGCTTCAATTTTTTTTAATTGGATGCTTTCATATAAATCCCATTAATATCATTAGCCTCACCATCACTCCATCTTCATTACGCAAAATTATTTATCATTACACGAATTGCAACACAGTTCCTATTTGAGAAGCTCAAAGAACACCTTGGGTGCTGCTAGAAAAAACAGCAACAGTCAAAACTAAGCAAAACAGAACAGAAACAGCACAAGGAGTGACCCCATATTGTCCCAGTCTCTTTGCAGGTACATTTTCTACTGCTTTGACCAGCCTCACGCAGTGTCCCTGAGCACTATCTCCTCTACTTTCCCAGGATGACCATTAACATTTTGTGGACAAAAACACTGCATTTTGCTTGCTAGGTTTTGTTATTGCTGCATTGCTGTTACTGGCACAGTGCTGTGTGAGAAAGCTGTTTAAATCCTCTCAGTGAGAGGCACTTTAAATTAATTAAAGCAAACAAATTCTAAAACACTTCTATTCTTGTTAGTGGCACTAATTTCCAAAAACACTAATTGATGGAAAGGAGGGAGGAAGGGAGGAGGTGAGACACTGACACAGCAGCCCGGGGTTTCTCTTTCAGGTGCATGGAGCTGAGTACCTGCTGCTGCTGAGATCAGCCTCACCGGCTGGGCATCTGCATCCCAGTGCTCAGCACAGCCACTCAATTGGATAAATGAGGAATCCCACACTGGGAAAAAAAAAAATCCATTTTCAAGAAGATCAGCACACGCTGTGTGTGGAACTGCAATGGGGAAAACACGTGAAGCCAAGTGATCTCACCTCCTGCAAGCCATCACCTCAACTTCCCAACGCAGGGAAGTAAAAGTACCCCACCTACAGCTGTTAACACCCAGATGGATTTGAATACGATATTCTGGGCAAGAAGTTTACAAAAGAAATGGAAGAACGCAGTGGTTCCTATGAGCGAAATTACGGGCTGGCAGCCAAAGGCAGCTCAGGTATTATTAAATTCACAAGGTATCTAAATTACCTAATCAGATCCCACGGCCCTCTTTCTGCAAACAGATTAGGTGGCTGGCATCCTACCCTAACAAACGGCGCTCTCTGTTTTCCTGCCGCGGTGCCAGGAGGTCTCGGGGCTGGCGAGGCTCTGCACAAAGGAGCAGGCAGGGGCAGACAGGCGCTGTAATCGCGGGCTCATCTGCCTCCGCGCGTCTCTCGCGTTACACACAATGCACGCGTTGCATTGCACAAAACCAAGGAAATGAAGGGAAATATATCTGTCACCAAAGAAGACATCAGACCTTTAATAGCTGAAATGACGGATATTTTTAGATGGAGGTCTAGTTTAACTTACTTACATTAAGGGTCTAATCTCTGCTGAACAATGGCTATGTTAGCTTGAATACATAGTGAGAAATCTGTTCCATTAATTAAGTGCTGCCTGTACTACTCGGATTCGTAGCAAATGTTAATAGATTTTTTTTTTCTTCCTCTGTTGGACAATTACTTTATTTTGCCAAGTTGCTAATGGATTAAATTGAAAAGGCCCGTGTGTTAAGAAAGACTTCAGCTTCAAAGTTCTAAGAAATGCCTCACATACAACAGTGGGAAATACCTATATATTAATATTATTAATGGGCAGTCCTCAGAGGCATAGAAAATATCTGAAAGCTTAGCAAATTCATTCCCACCCATCATAACCATGTCTGTAACAAGAAGCGCCCAGGTCTTATGTAAAAGACATCAGCTAACGCACATTAGATACAACATCTGGCAGGAAAATAGTTTAATGCTGCATGCTTTTAGTTTTAACTGTTAGTAATAATTACTAAATAAGAGCACAGACTCTGATCCTCTCTCTCAGCACAGTCTCAGAGATTACTCTAAATAGAGGTATTCACAAAACGTGCATTTTTAAAACTCAAATGAAAAGCAATGCCACACCAGGAAAATGTATTCCAAGTTTAAGAACAATTCCACATGCAAAAAAATCAAAGATAAAGACAATATTTTAAATAGTTTTTACAAATAAAAGCAAGTTCCTAATGATTAGCAGCATCTTACATTCAAACACTTCACTGTGTTCTGCAGCTCTGCCATTATTCTGGTATAGTCTGATATAGTTTGCATGGAAACACACAGATTTTAGCAATTTAGTGTAAGTTTCACACTGTAAAATTCTTGTTCATAAATACTGGCCATCAATTTTTGACTTTTTTTATTTTTTGTTTTCTTACATCCTAAGCAAAGACAGCCTTATCTATGCAAGTTTTAAGGTTTCTCTAAAGCTTCACCTTCTCTTTACATGAAAGTTTCCCAGACCTCCCTGTAACGGAGGATTTATGGTGACAACCACCCCGTGCTGACACCTGAGGTCCCACTCTGTGCCCAGGGGACCACCTCTACACCTGGCTGCTGGCAGCATCAGCCAGAACACAAACCACAGCCAATGCATACGGAGCATAAACAGCCACAGGCACCAAGGTTTACTTGTGCTTTGTTTTTACCACTGCTGCTTCAGTTCAGCAGAAGCTGGTGCATTCTCATTCCTTTTTCTAATCCAACTGCAGGATGAGATACCGTTGTTGTGTTTTTTTTCCCCTATGTATTTTTTTTTATTTCATTGTCACTTACAAGCTTAATACTGGTTTCCTTTTGTGTTACTTCCTCACTACACATTCTCCTTCACTTCATGTCAGCGTTCCTTATAAAGGCCATCTTTTCTTTCCCCTTTGCCTCTTCTGCTCCTTGAAACGACTTCCAAGTCACCTCCGCTATTTCTCCTAACATCCAGCTCCTTCTCCTGACTCCCAGTGCAGCACTTCAGCAGTTGTATCTCTTCCCTTTTTCAACTTTAATCTTCAGATTTCCCATCTCCATTTTTTACTCCCTACTTCCCATCTCCAAATTTTTACTTCCTACTTCCACAGATCATCTCTCTTTGATATTCAGGAATAGTCCCACCTCCTTCAAAAATAAAGAAATACTTGAATGGAAGATTTTGAAGGTAGAATGCTAGGCCCACTGTGGATGAGAAGCCAGATAATAGCAACTCCTTGTAGCCCAGCCAGAACAGAAGTAATTTTTAAGCAACTGATAAAAACATCATTGAAAACAGGTGCAATAATAAAGGTACTGGGCATGCTCTCCCACACAGCCAAGAATAATAATTTATTTCACTGAACAGCTTCCATCTCAGATGCACAGAGGCAGAAAAAAAGCTAAGTGCACTGGTTAGTGCTAAGGAACACGAAGGCATTAGCTAGCATGCATGACTGCAGTTTT